TCTGTTTTCTACCAGCTTTTTTCTGACATGCGTTTCTGCACTTAATCCACCTGTATGTACTTTTCGTAGATGATCTTTTTTTTTTTTTAAGGTTTTTTTGTTTGTTTGTTTTTTGTTTGTTTGTTTTTTAATATATCTTTATTGATTTCAGAGAGAGGAAAGGAGAGGGAGAGAGAGAGAAACATCAATGATGAGAGAGTCATTGATCGGCTACAGCCCGCAACCCGGGCATGTGCCCTGACCGGGAATCGAACCCCGATCGCCTGGATCCTAGGTTGATGCTCAACCGCTGAGCCACGCCCGGCCGGGCAAGATGAAGTATCTTTGAGCCTAAATCATGTTTCAACCATCCTGCTCTCTCTCTGGGGTGTCCTCCGGGCCCCACACTGATGCTGACTGCTGCGTGTGTCCCACTGTACAGTGCTGAGTGTGCTCCTCGGCTCACACTGGGGTCCATCACGTCTGTTTCTTTTGTGCACCTGCTAATCCCACATGGGTTTAGATTTTGTCATGGTGTTGGCTATATGTCTAATACCTGGTAATGCTGGATCTACCACTTCACTCTTCCTTTTTTATTATATGTTCCCATCTTATTTTTCCTTGATATAATCTTTAGAATTAGGTTGTTGAATCCCAAAAGAAAATACCTTCAAAAGAATGTATACCCATATGGAGTTGCATAGGAAAAACACAGAAAGACGTCAAAACACATTACTCTCATGGCCTTGGAGCCAAGACCCTTAGCCGATTCCTTTGAGGGAACTAGGGACACTTTGGAAATCATGAAAACTGCTTCAACTAATGGAGAACTAAAAGGGGCAAACTGGAACATTGCATCTGTGCCAGAAAGTGTGCACCAGCGCCTCCCCTTGTCCCAGTTTATCTTGATGTAGGAGGTTGGTTCTTGACATCTTTCACAAATGCAAGTCCCCCACCCCCAGCCATGAGTGCAAGGGTAAACACACACACACATACACACTTGACATACACTCCAGAACTGAAGAAAGGTCACAGACACTACCCAAATGAGTCTCAGAAGTGACAGGCACAATCTTTTCAACATTACTTCTTAAAAACTGGGCCAGACCTTCCACTAGAGGTCATTTTCTCAGGCACCTTCTTTTTCCTGGTGGTGGAGCGTCTGGGCACATTCTCTGGACCAGCGGCATCCAAGGGCTCTTCCATGCGATCTCAGTCAAAAGGACATCCATGCAGAAACCTTCAGGTTCTCCCTCAGGAGACTGAGTTCACCTAACACGATGTGCAGCTTTTACTGGGTGGCCGGCAGCCGATCCTAAAGAGAACACCTGCATTGACTCCTAATCCCTCTGGATAGCAGGGCTTGTTTTAGCCTCATCAGAGAGAAATGTTCTATAAGGGAAAAGTAGGACTCATGATGGAAAGACACGTGATGGAAAGACATCTATGTTATATAAGTTCACACTAAAAGACACTTTCAAGGGGAAATGCAAAAATGCACTAAAAGTAGAATCAGAGAGATGCAGTGTGAACCTGCCTCTCCTAGCTGCATGATCTTGGAATAATTAAAGAATCATCCTAAACCCCATATATAAAACAGGAATAAAAATACCATTCAAAGCTGATGTAAGGATTCAATTAAATAATTTATACACCTGTCTAACAGGACAAAATAAAATAATTTGTTATACAGGTTTAAAGGATGCACTGCTCCATCCATAAGCAAAGTCCTCTATACCTCCAAGACTTCTCCCCACTTCCAGAATAACAGTGGAAATATTTACTACAGAAGTCCTTTACGATCTTTCGGGGTTATGGGTCTCTGAGAAAATTTAAAGAATGTTGAGAGCTGCTTTCTCCAAAAGAACCACACAAGTCAACATTCAGGTGCAGAGGTCCAGGCTGCCTTGAAGCACATCTGCGGGCTCCTCAGTGGAGCCTAGGCTGCGAACCCAGGCCTTGCGCACTCACACCTGCACCCCGCCTTCCATCAGCAGGAAAGGATGAGTGGCGGTGACAAGATTCAGCCTAATTACATCCTAAGCCGTTGTCCATAGCTGAGGGCTGTTCAGTTCATCCCAGACCCTGACGGCTTCCCATAAACCAGCGCTTCTCCCCACCCCGCTCCACACCTCATGTCAGGGCACGAGTCTGACAGCCTCGTTCCTTTGTCTACATGGAAAAAATCCAACAGGACTGAATGCTTTCATAAGGTTGCATCATCTCACTGAACTTGTTTCCTCCTTTATGATTTATAATAGAAATAGCTAACACCTTTTCAGTCCTTACCACATGCCAAGCAGTGTGCCAGTCACCTGACACAGATTGTTCTCTAACTCTTACCAGAACAGCATGAGATGGGTTTTGTTATCTCCATTTGGCAGTCAGTTAGCTGAGTCTTAGCTGGTTGAAGAGCTGTCTTGCAGGTCACTCCCCTACTGAGCAGTGGAGCGTGGTTTGGAGCCTGAGCCCCTCCAACCACGAAGCCCTTTTCTCACTGCTCTGTTCTCCACAGCCTCCCTCCGGGGCACTGCAGAACTCATGGGCTGTTTCATAAGTACGGACACGCATGGTGCTCAGTTGCTTCTCTGGGTCCTCAAAGCATTGCTCACTGTCCTCTCTTAGCACCTAGCCCCAAGGAGCTCCCTCCAGAAGACTGCCCTGCACATATAAGCTGCTCCCTGCCTGCTCCACACCAGGTGAAGCCATATGTATCATTCCCAAAGTTGTCAGTGTCCAGCTTCCCCATAAATAGCATGTGCGGTCTTCAAAGCTTCCATGTCCCGCCCTCTATGAATTTGTTTCCTATTTCAGATAAAGACCAGCCGCTTTGGCCTATTTGAGTTTCAAATATCCACCCACATTATCAGCTTGCCTGCCACTGTCCTCTAAGAATCCAGATCAGTGGTCTGTGGTGCAAATATAGCTGGGCCACGATGGGATGAAAGTGAACGTGTGTGTTTTGCTTGCAGCTCATTCCTCATGAGCCAATGCTCCAGGGAGTTTCAATGCAGTTTCAAGAAACTCACATGAACACTCAGTGCTTTTGAAAGACTGGGTGTACAGGCCTTTTAACAGAATGGGAGGTGCATTAGCAGCCTGTCAAGCTTTGAACATGCCCTACTCACAGCCTGACACCTTTGTTACCCTCCTCCTACCGTGTATTCGTCAGGATGATGGGACCACAGCTTGGTGAGCAAGTCCCAACTTCTGGTGGTGTCTTGGTTAACAGTTTGACTATCTTGATCAAGAAAGAACTTGTGTTGAGCCACGGTGACTCAACAAGAAGGGCCACAGGACATGATACCAAGACTTTTTTTCTGAGGTTTTCAGTATCAAAACAGAGGTAGACAGGAGGAGGCAAAGCAGGAATCAGTACTTCACAGGCAGCACAGCAGAGAGAAAGGCCAGAGGGGAGAGGGCTGGGCCTGAGGCCAGAAGAGACCTGGGGAGCCCTGAGGGGAGAGGTGTGCCCAGCTGGTGCGGAGGAGGCAGAGGACAGCACTGAACATGTGGTCCCCGGTGTAGGAGACTTGGAGGTGAGTTATGACTCTGTCACTGAGTGACCCTGGCGAAGTCCCAAATGTATCATCTCTAAAATGTGAATGATAATAACCTTTTCTTATGGGGTGGTTTTCGTGGACGTGGACCACGGTAAGTGCTCAGTGAAAACACCTGCATGAGGATCTGTGACCCCCAGAAGGGATGCGAGGTGAACACAGTGCTGCGCCCTGACCATCTGCCAGCCAGGGCGGACGGAAACAGCGAGCCCCACTTGAAGAACTCAGTACAGCCTCATCTGCCCAAAGTGATACCCACCTGGAGGTGCCATCCTCTGGGTCCGTGGTGTCCTCTAGGTCTTCCCATTCGCTCTCACTATCATGGGACTCTTCCGGAGGCAGGGACTCTGAGAGAGCACCCCAAGAACAGAACTGTGGCAAGGGAGTGGTCCCTGAACCTGTCTCCAGACATTTTCTACAGGGTAGTTGCTCTTCTGATGTACAGTTGATGGGGAGACACCCTTCATACTCCATGGTGGGAGAAGGGACTTCAGGTGGATGGCACATGTCACCTCCTCATTGTCCTTGACCAATTCAGGACTAGAAAACATAAACCCATGTGTCTCCTAGCGCTGATCAGAAATTAATTTTCCCATCTTCCCTTGCCTTTCAAGATTGTCATCACGGCACATCACAGGAGAGCCAGCCAGGGTGCAAACAGTGTTTGCCAGAGACTGCTCTGTGGCCAGGAGCTAAACAGTGATAAGGCATGACCCTTGTCCTTGCAGAGCCCCCAACTTAATGGGAACAGTGATCAGTAAATGTCACAGTTCATGTAGTAAGTGCTATAGTAGAGGCAGTACAAAGCATTGTGGGTAGAGGAAGCTCCTGGCCAAACCCAGGAGGCCATGGGGGACTTGCCAAAGGGCATAGCGTAGAAAATGAAGCTATGACCCATTTCTAGGGCTAACTCTTCACATGGCAAGACCTCAGGCAAGTTTATTAACTCATCTGGAATCTCAGGTTTCTCACCTAAAAAATGGGAAGATGAAGAAACTTATAGGATGTTGGGATGCTTAAATGAAATAACTCTGATACAGTCACCTATGGTTCCTAGTACAGAACAAGGTCTCAGAAAGTAGGAGCTGCCATTGTTACTATACTGATTATGACTGTTATTTCAACAGAGGAATTAGATGGAAAGGGAGAAAGCAGGAGGCTGGGCACACGCAACTCAAGCAGATGACCTTCAAAGCACTTTTTGCAAATATCAGGTCCTTTCCTGAGCATTGAAAAAGTGCCTATTTGAAGGCAGCCAGCTACAGTGACATTTACTCCCTGTGACACAAGAGGCAGGTGAATGCTGAGACTCCACGTCTGGCAGCGAAGACACAGACACAACAATGAAAGAATAGCCTTCTAGAGGCTGCCCAAAGTCGCCATGCATGATTTTTTATTAAAAAGACCAGCCCGTGCAGATGGAATAGCATTTTGCACAGTTTAAACATGTAGAGAAGGTGCTCAGAAAATATCTGTTGAAAGTCTGGTTAGAGATGGTGAGTAGGAAAATCTAAAAAAAAAATGCACACAGATTTAGCTTTTTATCAAATACATGAGTCTTCATTTATTAGCTTCCTTTCCCACCTCCAAATCAATGGACTGGCTTTGGAGATCAGTATTTAGGAGTTGGCAGAGTGGTGTGTATGGGGGGGGTGTCCCCTGGGAGCCTATATGTTCCCCTGCTGAAGGCCCCAGCCTGCTGAGGTCTCTGCTCTGCTGCTAGACCACTCCCATTCCAAGCCAGGCATCTGCCTCACTGGTTCCCCTCAGCCTCGTGGGCCCCTGTGCCCTCCCATCTGACCAACAGCCCTCCCTGCAGCCTCATTTATGCCCCAGCCAGCTGCTCTGATGACACACCTGGCCATCAGCCTCCTCAACCTTTGCTATTCCAGGAACAGTGCC